CCTAGAGCCCCCCCCCCCCGCCTCAGCTCCTCCCCCCCCGACCTCAAACCTCGCTGTCCGAGTCTCGAGCGCTGCTGCTGCTGCTGCTGCTGCTGCTGATTTTTCTGCTGCCGCTGCTGCAGTTTCTGCTGCCGCCGCCGCCGCTGCTGCTGCTGCTGCTGCTGCATCAGCTTCTCCCTCTTGGTCTCCCTATCCCGCTCACGCCGAGCACGTTCCCGAGCCTCGGCCTCCGCGGCAGCTGCCTCCGCCGCCTCCTTCGCGCGAGCCACCGCCCTCGCCGCCGCCGTCTCCGCCTGCATGCGAAGGCGCTTGCGGGCTCTCCCGTGGCCTTCCTCCGCACGGGCGTTGCTCTCGCGGGCGCGGTCGCGCCGGGCGCCCACAGCGTTCTCCCGGCGGCGAGCGGCGACGCCGTGCAGGGCCTTGAAAGCCTTTTCCATGGTTCCCTGGAGGCGTATTTCTTCGGCCTTGGACCGGCGCTGAGAGAGGGGGGGAAAGAGAGAGGGAGCCAGGCCACCCCAAGCGCGGTGTGTTCGGTTGTTGGACGGGGCCACGGCAGCAGCAAGCAGTAGCCACGAAAGTGGCATGCGTTAGGTTTTTCAACCACTGAGGAAATCGAGACAAGGAGAATGACAAGCGTTACATTTTCAACCGCCAATTATCGAGAGTGAAGAGCTAAAAACAAGGTGGTTCACGGAAACGAACCCAGATTGATTCAACAACAGCTGCCCGACGAATATGTGCACAAAATTGACACGTGTTGTATCATAGTGACCCCCATGAGCAAGGGAACAAATCGCCTTGGCCGTAATTTCAATCAGAGCCGTGGCCACAATGCAATGGACATAAATGTGCCTCAGCCAATCAGAAGCCTTAATGATATAAAACAATGCATGCAAACCCGCCACTCGCCACCCCTTTCTACCGCAGTTTTGGGACAAAGCAAATCCCATGCTCTCAGGGAACCTAAAGAAAAAAAAAATCAGAGAAGGGTCATTGTGGATTCGAGTCACGCTAAAAATGGTGGTTCGACCGCCGCGATTTCGCGCCGTCAAATTTCCATGGACGGATCGTGCATGGGATAACATCCACAGAGAGTCTCGTGTTGGCTTGCCTTGTATACATCGAAGTAATCATTGAGTAGTCCTCATATTTTGATAGCGTTGTGCAACAAATTTCCGCAAACCGTACAGAAGAAAAATGAGACGACGTTTGCACTCCTGACCGGCTTATTGGGGTCTCCGGTGTGGAACCCCCTAACGCCCGTTCCAAACATATGAATGCCTTTATCTCCCGCTCTGGGATAGTCCAATGGTCCTTTCCAGGATGTTTTGTATAGCACTTGTTCAACTGCCGCAGCACCGGGCTTTGCAGTGAAAAAGTGGCCCCGCGGGTGTGATGCTTTACTAATATCAAGTAGGATGGGGAATACTTCATGGCACAAAGCTGAAAACCTCACGCCATTTTGTTGACGTAGACTTGAAACTTTCAACTTTGCACACATGTACATTGGGTTTGCGAAACACTGTGCGAAGGGCGATTTAATTAGTCTTCTATGGTCGCCGGTTATTCGGGGTCCCACGAGCCGCACATGACCCCGAAACCGCTAGGACCCCGGATATCCGGCGACAGGAAAGAAAAAAGGCCCCTCCACACAGCGTTTCGCACTAACCCGATGTACATGTGTGCAAAGTGTCAAAATCTAACTCCTAAAAACGGCATGAGGTTTTCATGGTAATATTCTTGTATCCATTTCCTCGAACCAGCTTGTAGTTGCGGGGAAGACATGCACGGTTGACAACTCACCAACCAGAAGGAGAAATAAAAAACTACCCTACTTTGTAGATCGTGAACCCTTCCAACATCCCACACCACGCGGCAGCAGAAGGGAGTGGTTAAAAAAACTGGCAGCAAAGGCCAAACCAAGCTTACCAGCTCGTTCCACGACTCAAACCTCGGCCTGGTGGTACCGCCGGCTATCACCACCCCCTTCGCGGCCTTAACTCCCGCCCCTGCCCCCGTCGCCGCCGCCGCCGCCGCCTCAAACGCCTCCGCAGCCGCCGCGATATCTTCCTCGCTTGCCGCCCCGCCGCGGGCGCACCCGCGCAGCAAGGCCTGCGTCCGGAGCTCCCCTCGCCGCTTGAAGGCGTAGATCTTGGCTCGAGCCTCGTCGGCCTCTAGCAGGGCCCGCCTTCTCCGGACAGCCTCGGCACGCTCCCGCGCGGCTGCGCCTATCGTTGCAGCCCCCGTTATTGCTGTTCCTCCGGCGGCGGGGGGAGACCTGGCGGTGGCGGCGGCAGCGGCAGCAGCGGCGGCGCCGGCTTGCCGCCGTTGCGCGGCCTCGAGCTGCCGCCGGAGCCGCCGCTCCTGCTCTTCCAAGGCGTCTTTGATCTCTCCCCGAACTTTCTTCTCCAGCATGGTGTTTCTGTGAGAAAAGGGAGTGCGAGGCGAGCCTAGCCTTGATCAAAATAACCAACACAGAGCGATGCAACGTCATGAGCTTCACAGCATACCGTTGGGCGGTCGGCTCAACATGGGCGCACGTTGGCACGGCCCCCGCAAACGTCTGTCGGCCTTACGGTGTAGCATGGAATGTATCGCGTTTCAGTGAAATGCGCAGCTTGCTTCAATCAAAGGCTCTGCGTTGTGATGCTGTGAGGTATAGACAACCGAGGGATGTCTAAGCCACCACGACTCTGTCCCATCATGGGCTGGGGCAAGCTCAAGTGTTAACACATAACAAGTCTTAGATTAGATCCACAGAGTTACAGCGAAGCCCAAAGATCTAGGGGGCCCTACATGCCATCTAACTCATGGGGTATGCCCCCTGAAAGATATCCATTCCACGGAACGTGCTATCGCCGTAGATGATACTCCACACATTCTACCATCATGACCTCCTCCCAGGTGGCTACCATTGGCCAGAGTCCAGAGAGGTCTAACATTAGCGTCGCCGCGGGCCTTGGCTCTATCACAGCCGCGAAAAACAAGCATCGTGCCTTCGGTACACCGCATGAACATCAATCGGTGCAAAATGTGCAGCCGGCCCGTACTACGAGCAGCGTGCAACGCACAGACAAATACCCTGGGGTACAGTAGATACCGCACCCCCTCGACCTATTTCATAAGCTCCATCACTCCATGACGAAGAGGATGCCAAACTCAAACGACACGTGTTCGGAAAGCTCTCGAGGAGGCAGCTATTCCAACGATGACATTTTCGGCACCATCACTCTCGCTGCTGCAAAATTTTCCAGCTTTGAAGATCGGTCCAGGGGGTACGATAGCTTACTTATGCAACCTGCGCTACAGCCCATCAAGATTCAGCCGTGGCCCACCGCTCCCAATTTTTTGTGAACAGTCCCAGCAAACTACGTCGAAGACACCTTCGCTTTTGCTTCTCCGCCCTCTCGCGCCTGGCTCGCCGAGCCCTCTCCTCGACCTCCGCAATCTTGCGCGCCGAGGCCTCCTCGATCTTCGTCAGCACCCGCTCCCGCGCGGCGTTCAGCTGCCGCACGGCCGACGGCTCCTCGAAAGGGTCCGGCCAGGCGACGCCTACGAACCCCGGCGCGAAGTGAGTGGCTCGCAAGCCGGGCACCACCGGGGCTTCCTCCTCCTCGGCCTTCGCTGGGGGAGCCGCCGCCGCAGCCGCCCCAACAACCGTCCGCGTCCCCCCGGCCCACCGACCCCCGGACATGGTTCGCCATCCCGGCGGCCTCTGCTTCATATTCTTGGCGCCGCCCCGGCGGGAGGAGGAGGAGGAGGCGTTATTCCCGGCGGGGACAACCGCGGCTGCCGCAGCCTTGGGCTGTCGGCGGCGGGGTACCTGGCGCAGCTGCTGCTTGTTCCGGAGCGGCTCCCGTCCCCTGCCGACCCCCGCCGCCGCACTCTCCCGCCTCCCGCCGCCGCCCGATCCTTCCTCGTCGCCGGTAGATTTCTCGTGCTCCCAACAGGACACCTCCGAGGACCGGTTGCGCCATAGCATGTCTTCTGTTGCCCCGTCCCGCTGGCGCATTCCACCTATGCCGCCGCCGGTTGCCGGGCGTGGCGCACGGGGGGGGGAGGACAACGCCTCCAGGGGACCGCTCGACGAACCGCCGCAGTTCGTACCCGCCGTAGTGCCGACCACAGCCGCAGGCGCGGGAACCGGCCCCTGCTCCTTGGGCTTCCGCCGCTGCCGCCGCCTCAACCGCCCTCCCCCCGGCCCGGGCGACGATGATCTGCTGCCAGCGGACAGCGACAGCAACGACGACGGCCCGCCGGAGGAGTCCGCGTCGGAGGAGGAGGGGTCTCGGCGACCGGGAGCGCCGCGGCCGGCGGCGGCGGGCGGCGGAGACCTAGACCCCGCCAGCGGCAACCCCCCGGCAAAAAAAACTTCGCTGCTCGTGCTACCAGCCGGGGGAGTCGGGGGGTTTCGATGGCGATGGCTTTCGCTTTCGGTGTCGGGCTCCCGGCGACCAGGCATCGGGATCACAGCGGCCTCTCGGGGGGACCTTGACCCCGACATCGGCAAGCCCCCGATATGACTGCTCTCATCGTCGTCGCCGCCGTCGTCGTCATCGTCGTCCAAAGAGTTGAAAAACCCGCTCTGCAGAGAGCCGCCATCGAAAGTCTCCGCTGCCACCTCCGCTACGGTGGCAGCGACGGTGGCCTGCAGCTTAACGGAAGCGGCCTCCCGCCGGGGCGTGTCCATCGCACCTCCGCTCCCACCGCGCCTGCTCCGCCCGGCGGCGCCCCCGCTGGTCCCCAACAGATCGCCACCCGTGGAGGAGTTGACAGGGTGCGCCGAGGAGAAGTCGGAGTTGCTGCTGCTGCTGCTGCTGCTCGACGAAGAGACCCCGGAAGAAGACCTCCTCAAGCTGCTGCCATCGATACCGCTCCCGTCCTCGTCCATTGCCCTCTCTTTAGCGGCGAGGTCTTGCAGCAGCACGGCTGCGGCAACACCGAAATCATCGGCCTCGCTCTCATCTCCCCCTTCAAGACTGTCGTCCGTGGCCTGTGACGGAGGGCGGTGATCGTTTTGGTCATCGGTTACCCTCTTCCAGGAACCGAATCCGGGGGCAGCGTCCCGCATCCCTTGCCGTTCAGCACCGACGCGGCCAACACCTGAAAAGACACCCGCGCACAAAAAAAAACAGAGGCGAAGAAGCCATGAGATGTCGATACAACTAGATTGACAACACACAAGAAAAAAGGCGAACAAGAACGAGATATCAAAACTACAAGATTGAAAACGCACACACACAAGAAAAAAGCGAAGTCATGAGATCTCAATACAACCAGACTGGAAACATGCACACGCACAACCAAAAAAGTCATGAGCGATATCGATCAGCAGCGGGGGGCTCGCCATAGCGCCGGTTGAGTCGTGCCACTTTCCCGGTAACGAACCACCGGTGAAATTGCGTGACACTGATGGAATCTTGGCTTTGTCTCATGATCTAGATGGTGCCGGGTGGGTACAAGTTATGGTGCCGGTAGCCTCGGCGGGCAACATAGCTAAAGCGAGCCCCCTACTACTGCTGTGCATCAAAACCAATATTCTTGGATTCCACGGACCCCCCCTTTTCCCGCTACTATTAATACTGAGCATCAAACACCAATATTCTTCGATTCCACGGAACTCCCCCGTTTCCCGCTACTACTGCTATGCATCAAACACCAATATTCTTCGATTCCACGGAACCCTCCCCCGTTTCCCGCGCACGGCATGACGCGGGCCTTCTTACTGACCTGATTCTCCGCCCGGGTTTCCAAGTCCTTCCTCGGAGAAAGCAGAGCCGCTGGTGCTACTGCTGCCAACCCCCCTCTTCCCCGCCCGGCCCCGCCGGGTCCCGCAGGAATCTCTCCCGCCGCCACCACCACCACCACCACCACCACCGGGGTACCGCGGAGGGACCGCGGCGGCGGGCGTGGACGATGGCGTCGATCCCAGCCCTCCCCCGGACGAGCCGCTAGCTCGAAAAAGGCTACCGGCGTCGTCGTTTACCCAGGCGCGGCCACCGCCGCCGTTGTCACTGCTGGTCCCTGATCGAGAAGCGACACTACCGCCGCTGTCACGCTCCACCCCTCCGTAGTAGGAGGCGCGTGGGGAGCGCGTCGCCTGCTGCTGTACCGCACCGCCACTCCCAAACACTTCTCCCGCACCACCGTTTGATTCCCCCGCTCCTTCCCAGCGGGCCCGCGGTTCAGACCGCCGCGTCGAGGACGAGGAGGAGTGCACGGGCAAAGGCGGGTCCACGGAAAAGTCGGAGGTGGAAAATATTCCCGAAGAGTGTGCGGGCTCCTTCCCGCCGTCCCCGAGGCGGTTGGCGGCGATGTCTTCCACCACCGTGAACCCGAGGTCGATGGAGCGCGGACCCCGCGCGACGGGTGAACCTCCCTCCGCCTCCAGCGTGAAGGGTCGGCTGCCGGTGGTGCGGTCCGTCCGCGTGGAGCGGGGAGTTTGCACGACGCAGACGTCCGTGACACACGCACAAAAAAAAAAAGAAGGGGAGGAGGGGGCACCATTCGACAGGGGAAGAGGTTTGCGCTCGTCGGACCTCTTTCCTCAGGCATCCAAGACAAGGGGGGGAGGAAATCAATCCACTTCATGACCTTATCTTGCGGAGGGAGAAACACAAAACCTCTTTGTGTTGTGCTGGGTTTGTGAACAGGCGGGTGTGTCCCGCGTAACGCTAACGCCGGATGTACTGTATCCCACGGAACGTCGGCTACCCACAGCGCGCGGTAAACCGCACACCGTAATTCACCCCGTCGGTCCACGCAAACAAAACGGGCACAGTTCCCCCCCCCACAATGCCCGTACAACAACAAAAAAAGCAGACTCAAAATAAGCCCAGCATCCAGCCAACTTCCCCCACTCACTGGTGTAAAGACTTCAACACCCCCCCTTCGACAACTGTGGTCATATCTCGAACAGGAGGTCTTTCTGTGATTGCGTGTACCTTTTCTTAAAACAACAGCAACGAGTGGCTTCTCTACGTTCCAAAAAAGACATAACAAACCACCCACCTTCGCTCAAGCCCCGCTAGGTCCGCCACAGGCACGCCAACGAACCCCAACGGCGCGGGCGGGAGCTTTCCCTCGAAGGCGAGCTCGGCCAGCCGCTCCTCGTCGAGGGGGGCGCCGGGGCACACCGACACCTTAAGGTGACCCTGCCGGTGCATAACACGGGGCCCCCGATGCGGCGCAATTGGACAGGCGGTGTTGCGAGTTACGAGACCGGGGGGCTCACAACAAGGGCGATCTGATTGCTTCTGGTTGGTAAGGACGCTTTCCCTACCCGGGAAGAACGAGTTACGAATGGCGTGGAAAGTTTCCAACACAAAAAACTTGAAATTGGCCCGACCTTGACCCCTAACAACATTACAATACATGAACGTTAGAACGTCGATAGTGCCTAGCCTCGCTACAGGAGAATCGCGACGAACCTCACGCAGTAACAAGGGTATTTACCGCATGATAAATGGATCGAACAGAGCAAAACATCGAAAAAACAACACCAAAGACGAAAAAAAAAAAAAAAAGGAATATCTGCTACATGCGTTGGAGATTATGCCGTAGGAGTTCCGTGGCAGCAGCACCTTGCCCGCAGGCTTAACTCCTCTGCCTACGTCGGCCAGTACGATACGACCTCAGCGTCAAGAGCGAACTGACTCTCCATACACAAAGAGCTAGCCACGCTAAGCTAGTTGGTCGCTAAGCTACGGCAGTATCACACGGCATTTGTGCTTGGAAAAACCAAACTATACATCCAAGTGTGATTGTGTGTGGCGGGAGGTGCGGCTGCAGCCAGCTATAATGCATAGCAAAGCCGCCATTTCCGAGCGTTCCGTTCTCACCTGCTGGAGGCTGTTCAGGGGAAGCGTCAGGGTGCGGTTCCAAGACGGCGAGGCGTCATACGTGCTGGTTACGCGGGTTTGCCCTGCTTTTTCGTGGCGGGGGGGGGGGGGGG